GTGAGTGAGTGAGTGAGTGAGTGAGTGAGTGAGTGAGTGAGTGAGTGAGTGAGTGAGTGAGTGAGTGAGTGAGTGAGTGAGTGAGTGAGTGAGTGAGTGAGTGAGTGAGTGAGTGAGTGAGTGAGTGAGTGAGTGAGTGAGTGAGTGAGTGAGTGAGTGAGTGAGTGAGTGAGTGAGTGAGTGAGTGAGTGAGTGAGTGAGTGAGTGATTGAGTGAGTTGAGTGAGTGAGTGAGTGAGTGAGTGAGTGAGTGAGTGAGTGAGTGAGTGAGTGAGTGAGTGAGTGAGTGAGTGAGTGAGTGAGTGAGTGAATTTCAGTTTTATTACGATTCTGGTTAAATTACGTCATAAAGATCGAAAACTATACACATTGGTGATTGTGACTAATATTTTTGGACAAGGTAAGAATACAAACACGCAAGACGGTTATGTATTATACTTTGAAACACATTTGCTGTCGACGTATGGTAATATTAGCTCTGAATTCAATGGTGTGCTGTTTTGATTCACAGCCTGTCATCCAGATTACCACTGGCAATGTAATGATACTATCTGTATCGCTGAATACAAGAGATGTGACGGGAATACTGATTGTCTCGACGGAAGTGACGAAATTGATTGTGGTATGTATATCATCATATCATTATTATCTTGTGTGTCATCATATGTCAATATTCTTCCGTACTTCTGACGAGTGAGTGTAATGGTGGCATGGTAAAACCGTAATAAACTAATTCTGTCTGGGTTTTATGTGTTATGCAAAGGAGCTAAATACTTCCATCAACCCCTCACCTCAACTTTCAGATATGTGTATTTAATAAGGCAATTGTTAAATGGTTTCATTCCAAGGCGGCAGTTGCCCGGAAAACCAGTTTAAGTGCAAAAGCGGTAAATGCATAGACAATGCTAAAGTTTGCAACCATATTGTGGACTGTAATCCGGATGAAGAAGATGAAGACGATTGCCCTCCAAGTAAGAATTAGTTACTCAATGATTTATTTAACGTAATTTGTGGGATATCCTGCCGTCATGTTATTTATAGCTTCGCTAACATGTACCATTTATAGATTAATTATAATATTGATCTGTTAGAAGTAATAAAACATGTAAACCTGACAATTTCTTGGTGTGATGCTACCAAATTACTATTATGCATGTTATATCTCTATATCGATACACTGACAGCTAGATGCATTTTGTCTTTTAGGTAGCTGTTCGCCGTATCAATTCCAGTGCGATAATGGTGTCTGTATTACTGGTTATCTGGAATGTGACGGTGCATCCAACTGCAAAAATGGCGAAGACGAGGCTTTGTGTGGTAAGCGACTCTATGCAGTTATTTACAATACACGTAATGCTATAATACAAAATATGGGCCTAATATTTAGTCAAAACCCTCGACCGTGTTACTCTCTTCAAGCCAGTCCCTATAAACTCAATTACTTTCCTACACATATAGGTCCCAAATGCTGGAAATGCGAAGGATGGTATAAAATGGGTGTGATATGTGACGATATGAACGACAAATATTCAAGACCTGACTGCGAAATAAATGTGAGTTGGTATATGTCGGGTGCCACATCGGCAGTAAGGCACTTTATCCGCTTATTTGCAGAATGTTGTAATATGTCATCAATCGATTATTTGCTAAATGTTTTGTTCTCAATATTCAAAATTAAATAGCGATTGGCTGCGAAGTCATTGTTACTTTGTTATTACGCTTTACATTATCCAAATTTTCACACGAACTGCAGGCATTGTGCATGACTCGCTATACAAATGATGTCAATGGTGAACTACTTCATACAGCGGGTTATATGTCAAGTTCGGTAAGTATCCATTCATACTATCCATACGTAAAGTACTATTTAACAAGGTGATAGACTGCATAAAAAAATTGCCTTTTCCCCGAGGAAGAATGGTTACATTTACTTTGCAACAACGTTTCGCGACAATCTATAATCGAGATGTGTGAATATGTAGCAGGCAATGACTGGAGGCGAGCGCAGCAGAGTAGTTTATTGATTTACTGAAAATTGAAATAACGTATCCCTAGAACGTCGAATAGCGTGAACTGCAAAGCGGAGGTTCACGAGCCAGTAACTCAAGATGGCACCACTCACCATTTGTGTGTCGCCGCTGTTCAAATGATCTTGAATCACTCTTCAAAGTTGAACTATTTTTAGTCTGTTGCCAGAACGATTGCGTTATCACAGAACAACATTCTGTTGAAGCTGCTTTCGTCCTCGTAATGTAACAGCAATAAAATTGCAGCGCATATTGGCCTAAAGTGCACTCTTAAGGTATATTGATTTCCTCCATGTTTTCTATATACACATGTTATATATAAAAATTGTTATAAACTATTTTCCTTGATGTAGCTTAGTATTAATTCCTCTCCGTGTATGCGAGTCACCACCAACCTAATATATCCCCACATATTCTGTCCTATGATGATCACACAAGAATCGAACTGACGTGAAGGCAATGGCAGGACGTATTTTATAGTGTAACTCTCGTTCAACTCTTCACGTTTCAATTTCAGGATTGTGTTGTCGGCCAGAATAGTAACCCTGTGGGATGTTTTGAAGAGCCAATTACACTGGCAGAAGGCGAGGAGTGTGTATTCTGTTGTAATGCGGATTGGTGTAACTTGGTGTAAATTTTGACAAAATTTAAGGAGATATGATAGTGTTTCGCCGGATACTGCTGCATACTGACCATTTCTATAATATTATTATTTAAAAACTAAATAAACAAGGTTAAATATGGTTTCAATTATGTGTATTAGTATCTAAAATCTTCCAAACATAGACAAGACATTATACAAGACAGTAACAAAATTAGGGATGCAGATCAACCATTCTTCAAAATTGAAATCAGTCTTTTCGAATCAGAGTATGAATGATGCCTAACTTCAGAGTAAAGTTGGATGTGTGATAGTTCTGAAATATATGTGTTAAATGTTAACAAGATTGGTCTGGATATATATGAGATGTAGCTCCAAAAAAGCATTCTATAATACAAAATGTCAACCATTTTGAATTCGATACGCAAAAAACAAGTGACGTATATTAAGGTGCGCAATATTTGTATCAGGTTTAAACGAAATTATTCATTACACAAAATGATTCGGGATTCAGAAACACTTGATTTTGTTGATATTTTAGGAATATCTCTCTAATCTCGAAACGAACGCCCGTGATTATGTATCTCGGAGTATATGATGCAGGTCTTCGTTCGATTACATAAATATGCAATGTATAAATATTGTCTGTACAACATGGATATTTTGAGACTCGATCATCAAAAAGGTGTATGTAATTTTGTTTTATCAGCTTGTGTTTTACGGATATCCCTTCGTGTGGAATTATATTATCTACTGAATGACGAGCGTAACGTGATTACGCATAGTCTGGCTAGTGGAAAAGCAACAAAACTGCATTCATATTACAAACAATTTGGATCGATAAGAGATACAATTGTGTAGTCTTATGTAATACGTCAGGGAGAATTGCAGTTGATTATAAAAAAAGATGGAACATAAACAGAGGTAGAGGGTTCCAGGAACCAATGAAACATCGATACATCCATGAGTATACTCTCTACATATGAAATCCACTCAAGCCAACAATTACTTGAGTTGGACGTATTAAGCTGAAATGAACCCAACCCAAGGAGTCTTTAACCATCTTTATCTGGGAAGGTAACAAGTCAAGGAGATGTAAAATGGATGTAAGTACTGGCAAATCAAGTATTATATTGGAAAGTGACAAAAAGTTTCAGAATTTCACGTTTTGGTGCACATTTTCTTTTAAATCTGAGAATTAAATCATTCCTGGTTATTAAAATATTACTTACGAGGGCGGGTCTATTGCAGGTAAAATAGTGTGTAATGGTGTTCGTCACTTTGTCTTGGATGTCAGCAATGAAGAGGAAAACGCTGTACTATAGGAGCCTATACGTAACGTGGGAATATTCACAAAAGCAGTAAATTTATCTGATAAATTCAATCAGCAGGAATACCTAAATGGCAATTACAATGATGTGACTAACAGTTATTCAATTAAATCACCAACATACACATTTTTATCTTGAATATATTTATTAATAATTAGAAAACGTATGACAAAACAATTTGTAAATGGTATTTGGTATGACAAATGAGCTACAATTTGCGCAGTTACATGTTAATTTCTTTGATTACAAAATAGTCAATGTAATTAACGTAAAGTTTCGTGCCATAAAAGGTATGATTCAACCAACATATGTAAATGATTTCCGTACTTAAAATCCACCAATCCAATGATGGCGAGTTGGTGGAATGTGTAATGTGGAATGTACGATTGTAAGCGGCTGAAGTTCAATATACTCGAATTACTATTGCAAGGAATGAGACAAACTGAATAGTACATTTGTACTAAGAAAGTTAAGTAGCAATCGATGAAATAGAAAAAAATAGAAAATAAAATAATAAACAAAATAAAATATTTCTTGATATGGATTTGTATGAATACCTAAATATGATTCATCGGAGTATTTTTTTTCTGAATAATACTGTTTACTTGAATAGTAAGAATGATATTAAAAATATGTACCACTTTGGAGCATGTTCAATATTCTACATGTGTCCTTGTTAGTGTTAAGGTTACGGTATGGTTTCAACACATTGTTTATTTGAAATTATTTTTGTGTTCAATGACATAAGATATTTGAGGAAACTATATGTTCAGTGCATGTTTCTTGGAAATGCATGCTATACAATTGCGCAGGTAGTTTATAAACTGCCTTGTTCTCAACCAACTTATGTTCCATGGATAATACTTTAAAAAACTGTCAATCTATAGCATAAAAAATCACTCCGTACAAATATGTATAAACCAACTTAGTGTAATCTGCGTAATATATCATCTTGGTAATTGTGGGTTGGATAATGATTCGTTGTGGTATATTATGAAAAAATTAAAAAACAATCACAACAGATTCCAGTCGATATATATCCCATGAATCAAATTACAGGTACAAGCTCGAGTGTGAAATAACTACAAATGCGATACAATTATACAATTGATCAAATTAACATAAATAGCAGAAATAAAAAAAAACAAAAACAGCTAGAGTGAAGACAACGATGGAAAACATGTGACTTGATAAGAATAATCGAAGAATGCAAGATGAAAAAAATGAAAGCACAACAGAAGAAACAGTTAGTCTAAAAGGGCGATAGTTCATTTCTGGGGAAGGGTTGACTAGAATATTTCGAGGGACAGGATCTGGTACACGTGAAGTAGAATTAGCGATATTCCGGTGACAATGACACGCTGTTTTATTTCAGCAATAAAGAATATCAGATGAAGACTGCAAGTGTTTGCGACTGGTTTCAGACTTTCCAGTCTTATAATTATCACACAGTTCAACTCCAACATAAAGCCACAGTTATACGACGAACGAATCCTTCAAGCATCTGCCTCATCCTTCAATTGCAATACATTTAGCTGTTTCTCTACGTTATCTATTTTTGGTTGTGGTTGTAACTCTTCGTAGTTTCTGTTTGTAACGCCCCCAGTCGGCATGTCAACGAAACGCGCTGCTAGGGCATCGTCTTCAGGCGGGATCTTGACATTCGTGGGGTCCACGGTTTCGCCAGAAGCTACTCCAGAGTCAAATGGATCAACATTTGCAGGTGTTAAGTTCACATTGTCGTATAATGGATTGTCTATACCGATAGCTGCGTTTGCATTGTTCAAGGCTGGGTTATTTGGAAACAATGGATTTGGGATACCTGTCACTGCACCTTCTACGTCTGTCGGTATGTCTGCATTACTAAAGACGATTTGTGGATTCATGTCTGGATTTTTCCTGAAGCGTCTCCTGTTATCAAAATCAATAAATATTAGCAATAAAATAGGCATCTACTACTACATACATGTATAGTATTAAAAAAATGTCATCTCAACATGTGTTTAATGTGTGGTTTTTATATATACATTAAATAACCGGTTTATTTATAATTGTTCAACATAGCATACATTACGTACCTGCAGATAAATGCCGTAAGTAGAATAACACATACAATAACGACCACACCTACTGTGGGCAGCACGATAGCAAGGATATTCGGGCCTTTCGCATGGTTGGAAGTATGCTTATCGGAGTTGCCGTCATCTGAAGCTGAAATATACAAGTAATTCACGAGATTTCGTCATGGAAATGTGATGAGTAATACATGTGATAGTTCACACGTTTGGATGTGACTATATCCTGTGTGAATTTCCGGAATTTATGCAATATTTTGAGTGGGTTCATAAATGAAACTAACTGGAATTAATTATATTTCCCCGGAAGTATTAACAGCTGTTTGTTTGTTTTTCGAAATGCACACACATTAGTACTAATCAAGTTGTTATTGTATGAATAATTAATAAAGCGTGCAGTGTTACTTATACAAGTCAGAAACACATGTTTCCTGTACCAAAGTGTTGTTACATTCAGGAGTAATTTATACAACCATTATGATCATTTCGTTCTCAATTTAGCCGAGTATATTGCATATAACTAATACAAACCTATTTCGCAGTCGGGTCCCTCCCAACCTGTAGCACACGTACATACGTATGTGTTACCATCGTTTCTGCAAGCACCATCATGTTGACACGGAAGTAACACACATGGATCGATATCTAGTTTGACAATGAGAATAAATGCATGTTATAGTTTTTATGCAAATTTAAATTGGTAAAAGCAGTCCATATATGGAATGTAAACATAATACGAACAGCCACATAATCCGTCATACTAAGCACATTTGTCATATAAATACGAATCTCACTTCAAGCAAAAATCAGAGAGGTTCGCCAACGTGAAACCATTGCGAAGGAGTACAGCTTGAACTACTTTATATACTTCAGTAATTTCTGCTATGGTTAAACATTCTGGTTTTAAATCCAAATGACATGTTTTTTGTTGAATAAGCTCACAGACATCTTTGTCGACAATGTTGGAGGATGAGTCCTTCTATAAAGTCGATACGTATATTTGCATATTCATTACTATGCCTTGTGAAACAATGGTATAAGAATACAAAAAAGACGTTTGAATAAATTAACATTTTTGACCAAAATATACTAGTTCTTCCTGGTATATAATTCATGCAAAATCATGAAAGCTCTATAAGAGCAGTGATGTTGTTTATTTTATATATAATATAATATAATGGTCGAGTGAGCACGTCGTCTCCAGCGCTCCGTGCGTTTTCGCCCGATTTTGGTATCTAGCTTCCGACTGAGTTCTTATTTTCGCTATAAGCGTTCTATTTGGTGGTTATAGTCACTATGTAGGTAACTTTGTGTTGTATTTTAACATTGTTTGGTGTTTTTTGGAGTGTTTTTGCCCTTGCCTTGGCAAGGTGGTCGGCAACCAAGATGGCTGCCGCTCACACGAGGCCACCGTCAACACCAACAGGTCACCTTACTAGAAACCATGCGGTACGGTGTGAAAACATTCAATGGCATTCCGGTAGAAACTTATGTGGAGTCGGTTGCAGATTTAGTCGGGGCCAGTAATATTGTGGCTGCATCCCGTATGAACCGATCGGTTATTGTATTTTTAATTAAGGTTACATGGGTCGACATGGTTTCTGCCGCTGGCCTTGACCTCCATATTTCTGTTGAACATCTTGTCCACCCCTCAACAAAAAATGTTCTATCAAATGTTTCCCCTTTTGTACCTGACAACTTTATTACAGATGCCTTAGCTAAATACGGGCGTGTAATGAGCGCAGTGCGAGCGATCCCACTCGGGTGCAAAAGACCAGCACTGAAACACGTAAAGTCTTTTCGCCGCCAAGTTTATGTATATTTAAAAGATCTCAATATCAACGGTTTATTACCTATTACTTTTCAAGGTCAGACATATAATATTTAAGTTTGACGAATTGACTTGCTTTTCATGAAACATGAAGGGACATACACGTAAAACTTGCCCAAACTCTAAAACAATGAATATGCAAATTGTGAATGATGAAAACAATAGTGCTCAAGATAGCAATCCAACAGACTCTCAACAGATGAATGTAGTTACTAATTTAAATTCTTCTGACACATTGTACGACAAAGACGATGACATAACTGATATAGTTAACACCCAAATACCAGATACTGAAATAAACATTCATGAGACAGATGGTGCAACAGAAAATATTGAACTTGAAACTGAAATGGATACAGATTCATCCAAAAATATGAGCAAAAAGCGCACGCGCTCTAAATCACCAGTTCATAGAGAAGAACAAAACAATGACCAGTTGAATGACGAAAATAAATGTGAACCAAGTTCTAAAAAGCGTAATGATGAAAATGTAATCAAAATTGTTGAACAAAATTGACCGATTGATGAAGAGAGGGAACGAACCCCTCTTTCCCCTTCAATTGCATCACCATCGCCTCCCCTACCCCCTCCACCCCACAAACCCCTCCCCCACGTCTATGTCAATGTAACAGTGTGTACTCCAAATCCACAGCCCGAGCTTACGGAGTCGGCCCCATTTCCCCATCATCTCCCTCACTTGAGTTCACAGTTGAATCCCCGCGCTATTAGCCGCTATCCGAAATCCCCATTGATTTATTTGGTTTAACTGATCAATCACAATACCTTTTCAGCACACCTATGTCACAAAATAAAACCGCTGATGATATGGAGGAAACTGCCAGCGAATGAGGGGTCTATCATTTCAAATATTTCAACATGTACTGATAACAGCGAATCAACAATATCAAACGCTAATATCAAAACCTTTTTAGTGTATACACTTCACTCACGTAGATTTATAGACCAGTGTTTTGAATTTTGTCCCAATCTTAAAATATTTGCCCGACATCTGATAAACTAACGCAATACCACGCAGTTGAACATATCTGATAAATCTCGCATACACAGACTAATTAAAAAGAATTACAGCAATCAAACGGGTAACTTTATCGCTGATATTTAATTACCCTTTAATTACCCTTTTTATGATGGCAA